CAACAAAAGAACCCATGCAAACAGAAATGATCCCTCAGCAGGACTCTTAACCCTGAACCGCTCGACATTTTTCCGATGCCAAGTAAATGAGTAAATAAATGGATGGGGGGAGTGACGCTGTAGGAGACGGTTGAGAAAGGGATACAGAGGAAAATCTGGAAAACAAAAGTACAGTCATTAAAAATTAATAAAGGGTGTGGACATGCAGACCCCACCCCCGTCTGCTCATGGGGATTGAGCCAGACACTCTGTGTCCTCGTTAAGTGGAGTCTGGCAGGCTGCCGGAGTGTTAGTGGGTTCTGGGAATGCCAATATATTAACCAGAGGACTTTTTGCATACCCTTTAGAGTTTTTATTCTAGAAAAGTCAACCATTTGGCACAGTGCGGCATTATTTTTGTCCGGGAAAGCTCGCAGCTGCCAATCAAGGGAGAAATTATATCTATGTTCTTTGTAATCTCCAAGACCTATCTGGAAAACAAGCTTGGTGGAAAGAAAAGTCTTCACAAAAACAGCTTAAAAGGCCAAAGTACCATTTTTAGTGGGAACTCAAAGAAAAGCAATCCATTCTTAAATCACACGGATATGTGACAACACAGACATCAATTTCAATTCCTCCTGTGATGGAAAAAAAAACGACATTACCTGGAAATTCAAAGCCAATATTTTCAGAGTAATTAATAGTACAGGTACTAGCTTCAGTCCTTTCCTTGCCTAACAACGAAGCAAACAATGCCCCCAAAAAAATCTCCCTAAAAAGTGGCAGGTCTTGTGGCCTAAATTTTCAAATAGTAGGCAGAACCTTTGCATTTCTATTTTGAAACTTAAGATTCACCTCCCATGCACACCCATAATATAGCTCAAGATGTAACTCCAGACTAACACAGTTCACGTAGGCAGAACGTCCCTTTGACATCAGAATATAATGGCTTCCAGGAGATTTTTTCTGAGACCTAAAAAAAGGAAGACACAGAGGGAGATACAGAAGGAGACAGAGAGGAAGGAAGAAAGGAAAGAATAACTTTGGACTACACAGCAATTTTGCCGCTATTCACATTTAATCTCCATGTGCCCCTACACATTCCGTTAAATATTTCCAAAAATGTTTCCAGGTTAAAATGGTATGCTCTTCTTCTACACTGTTTTATCACTTCTTGAGTGATAACTTATTTTCCCTTCTCTATTAACTCTTACAGAGAAAGAAGGACACATCACAGAGATTGCATAAGCCCAGATTCCAAAGAAAAATGAGAAGAAACATGGCAAGGACTACCAGAAAGATCGGAGCAGTCTACAATTGCAAGGATCCTGCCCGGAGCCCTGAGGTGGCTTTGGTTTTGCGTGATGACGTACAGCAGTCGCCTCCCACACACCACCACAAGGAGACTTGATGCCGGCTACATGCAAAGAGGTCAGCAGCTCAGGGGTCTGTCTCTGCTGGACCGCCTGCCAGAAACTATCCACAAAGAGCAAAACTGACTCTCCTCTGACCTTGTTTCCCTATCAGACAGGGACGTTACCCTGCAGCAGCCCAGAGGAAAAACAGAGAGCGTCCCAGGAGCTGTGAGGCTGATCTGCCAGGCTGCTAAGTCAACCAAGACTACAGCACAGTCCCAAACTGTAAACACCTCTGCAGACGGGCCCTTGCTCTCCGCATGCCAGGAAAGAAAACTATTCTTAGAACACTGTCGGCAGTTGGGGGAAAATAAATATTTGTCTATGTATGTATATACTCCAGTGGGAGTGGGGTGGGGTGGAGGAGTCTCAAATAATGTGCCAACAAATTGGCACAAAATCCCTTAATAAGCAGCTGGCACTGGCTGTGTTCCACTGCAGGGCTGTGGTCTTGCAATCCAAGCCCACGAGAGGATTCAAGAGGCAGTCCTAAAAACCTGCCGGGAAGTCTTCTCCAATGTAAATACAAACCTACACGAACCAGGACCATGGCCAACAGTGGCAAGCCCTTCCAAGGGTAACAGCAGAACGTTAAGAAATTAGGGAGGTCTTTTAAAACAAGGGAGGAAGGTAGCTACAATTCCATTACAGCAAATCCCTTACTGGCATTTACATTCCCAGCCCTAATTCCTAACAGTGTGTTCAACGTCAATAGCAAAATGAAGCTCTTAAGAAGAATTAAGCTTTCAAAGATCATAAGGAAGTTAGCCCCCTGTTTTCAAAAGCACTGCTTAGAAAGGTCCATCAAATAACATTTCAAGGGTTGATGGGAAACCAAGTGTAATTCAATAAATATACATGGGTAATACTCAGATGTCCTCATTTGTCTATGTAATGACTCAGATTTGACACTACGATCTTTGACTGAACACAAAGACTGTATTCCAGAAGAACTGTGCAGAGTACAAAGGCAGAGTTACAGCTGACAATACACTCGAGTTAAAGACTCAAAAAGACAATACTCATATACAGAATTCAGACATGACTTGATGCACTGGCAGTCTCCCTGTGCATACTTTGCAGAACCTTCTGTCATTCAATACTCAGTTCTGAAGCTCCAGGGCAGATACAGAGACGAGAATGCCATTCTTGGCTAGCCAAACCGGCAGAAAGGACCGTTTTTAAAGGGAAGCTTCCCAGCACTAGCCCTTCGAGAAGGCACCAACCCTATACCAGCCACAGGACCCTATTTTTGAGAGTCAGTGCTGCTCACCGTCTCTATCCACCTCTACTGCAAATAACTTACTAATACAAGCGCTCAGAACCCACGTTCTGCACAGCTACTCTTACCTCACATCCCACAACGCCTAACACATAGTAGGCCCTCAATAAATATGTATTGCAAGGATAATTAACATTTAGAAAGCAGCGCTGGTCCAAGGATGAGAAGATGCCAAAATAATTAGAAAAGAGAAAAAGAGAAGGGAATAGACCAGGACAGAGGAAAAGAAAAGAAGTAAATCAAAATTATGCAATTCTAGCTAATTAAAAAATTTCGGGGGGAAAATAAAAATCACACTAGTTCACGTGGCTAGGGGCACACAGCAATCATTCCTGCGCCTGGGCAGAGCTAAGGAGCCCCGCTTGCTTTAAAGAGCTTCTCGCTGCCCTGACTGGCGACGAGGTGTCCCTCCAGGTAGGTGACCCAAGAACATGGTGCCCTCGGATGCGCCTTCTGCCGGGGCCGCCCACCCACCACGCGTCCCTGTCGTCCTGAAAACCTCTGCCTCATCGGGAAAACCCCTCCTTTTCCAATTAAAAAAAAAAAGTTTAAAAACAAGCAAATGCCCTCTCCGCCACGACAGCGATTTAACCCACGCCGAGCCCACTGTCTTCCACCGCGTACTCACAGGGCGCGCCCCCAGGCCCACCGGGCGGCGCACCGGGCAGGGGTCCCAGGAAGCCTCCTGCAGGCTGCGCAGCGCAGACCCCGGCACAAAGGCAAGCGCCGGGCCGGGCTGGGTGCTCGTCGCTTCCTGTTTATTCCACGGTGAGGGGCAGAAAGAAATTCAACGCACGCCTGCTTCCTCCGCGGCTCTGAGACCCAGCCTGAGTGCAACAGCAGCCGCCCGAGACAATCGACTTCCCAGCCAATGCCGGGAGCTCCGGGCGGTCCCGCGACCGACGTCAACGCGCGCGCCGGGGACCCGGGGGGACCCGGGAGGACGCCGGGTGAAGCCGGCCCGAGGGGTCGGGGGGCGGGGAGCGCGCGGTGCAGGATGCGGAACTGAGGGACTGAGTGGCTGCGGGGCTGCGGGGCTGCGGGGCTGCGGGGCTTGGCCCGCCCCCCTCCTTCCCGCAAACTCCCCGGCCAGATCCTGCAGGCTCTTCCCGCTTCCCGCTGACCTCCAGTCCCCGCCCGCCGCGGCGCGCCGAGGCCTAGGGGCTCCGAGACGGTTGGGGCTGCCACCCGCGCGCCCATCCCAGCCTCCGGGCGGTGCAGAATTCAATCTTGCAACCCCGGGACACCCGCGCCCCAGGGCACCGGGAAACAGAAAACGGGGTGGGGGTCGGCGAAGTCCCTCCACTGGCGCAACCCCGCCCGCGGGCCAGCGCCGGACCCCCGCCGTGCCCACGGACAAGCCCACCCGGACGCAGCCTCACAGACCTCGCGCGCCCGGCGCCCGGCTGCTCCCTCCGGCCCCCGCCGACGGCGCAGGCTCGCGGACGTCCAGTTCCCAAAGCGTCCGGTCCCCGAGTCCCCCGCCCCCCTCGGCCGCCCCTCCCTCCGGAGCGCCGCGGTGAACTTGGGCCAGAACCCGCGACCACGGCGGCCACCTCGGGTCCGCACTCACCTGGGCCGCCCCCGGGAGCGGAGGCGGGGACTGCCCGCAGTGCGGCTCCGCGGCCACCGGCCCTGCCGGCCAGGGGAGGGGCGCGGTGCGGGGCGCGGCAGGGGGCGCGCGGCGGGCCGGCGGGGAGCGCGGCGCGCCGGGGTTCTTTAAGAGCTGAGGACCTCACCCCCGGGCCTCCCCCGCGCTCCCCGCCCCGCTTCCACTTTCCCAGGCACCCGCAGCCTGTCTGGCGGCGGCGGAGGCGGAGGCGGCGGCTCCTCCGCGGCTTGCAGGGGATCCCCGGCCGGCCGCGGCGGCGCGAGGAGCGGGCAGGGCCAACGCACTCGCCTGCTAGTCCCGCCGGGCCCGGTCCGCAGCCTCAGCGCGGGGAGAGAGGGGACGCGGCGCCGCGGCCGCCGGGGAGGTGTCCCGCCTCCAGTCGCCGGAGGGGGGAGTGTCCCGCCTCCCGCCGCCGCCGTCTGTCTCCAGCCGTGACTGCGCGCCGCGGCTGTGTCTGTCTCCAACTCCTCCAGTCTCTCCTCCTCCTTCCCACTCCGCCGCGGGGACCCGGCGCACGGCCAGGCCGCGGGGGCCCGGGCCGCCGGGCGGGGGCTCGGGGGTCCCCGGCGCACGAGCCACGCCGACCCCTGCTGGGGGCGGGCCCGGAGGCCGGGGGTGGGCGGTGGGAGAGGTGCGCGGCGCGGAGGCCGCGGGACCCCGGGCTGCACTCCCGCCCAGGGCTCGGGCCCGCGTGGCGCGCGCCCACCGCCGGCCGCACGGGGAACTCCAGGTCGAGCGCGGAGTCCGCGGCAGGGGTGCCCGGAGGAGCCGGCTCGCCGCCCGCAGGCCGGGGGCGGTCTCGGGAGGCTGAGGGCGCGTTGGAGCACAGAGTACCTCGCGGACTGCGTGTGCACCACGGGCGCGGGACCTCGGGCAGCCGCCTAGAGATGCGCAGTCGGGCTGCAGGACACTTAGTAGGACGGGTCAGTGCTCGGGGAGTCTTGCGGAGCTTGAGGCGCCTCCGGACCCCACCTGGTCGCCCTCTTAATATCCCGCCCTCTTTTAAAGGAAATGGCTCCTACCCAGAAGGTGAGATGGAATCTTCGCGCTGTGACCCTTTCTCCTGGAAGGACCTACATCTGTGAAGACCATTTGAGACTTGACCTCCACCTGAGTGCAGACAAGATGCCATTTTGTTCGGAAGTACACGCATTGCCCCCAGCCAACCCTACCATGTTTGATGGGGGATTGGTTACAGCCGGAGCATATGGGCATTTTAACCCAATTTTATTATAGTCGACCAAAATTAGTTCGCCTCTGCCAAAATTAACCCCCTGCAGACATAGCAAAGCGCTCCACTAAGCAGGGGTTTCAGGCTGGGTTGAAGATAGATGCAGCTGGTTAAAGGAGTGAAAGTTTTCAGCTGTCCCCACACCCCCCCAAAAAAGTTGTCCAGCTCATATTTCCATAATATCAGAGAAATGAATCTTTTGAAACCTACGTTTTGTCTAATTTGTCAGTGACTTTTTAGTTAGTGAAATGTTGGCGGAATTCAGCTTCCCTTAAGCCCTCAGCTCTCAGCTGTGATGGCAATTGCCGCGAGCCTTTGATCAGTGCTCACATGTGATGTAATAAAAACTACCATTCATGGAGAGCTCTGTGCTAAGCGCTTTACATGGATTGTCTGACTGAGTCCTCACAATAACTGGGAGCTATTACTTCTCCATTTTACACATGAGGAAGTTGAGGCTAGAAGGATTTACTAATTTGTCCTCAGACCACAAAGAGATGGTTTTACATCCCTAACTAGCTGCATAGAAAGCTGGGAGCTGAACCAGCATGCCATACTGCCACCTACCTACAGCAGCGCTGGCAGAAGTTCTTCAGCTCAGCCAGCAGACCAGCCGGCATCTGCCTTGTGCCCGGCGCTGAGCCCGCTCCAGCTGGGAATGCCCAGATCCTGGTCTAATTGAGAAGCTTGTAGCAGGGGAACTTTGAACCTGGCTGCCTGGGTAAACTTTTTAAATGAGCAATAAGCCGGTAAGTGCTTCACACAGGTTATCCTAATCTGACAAGCACGTACCTAGTTTATAGTTAATGTCCACAGATGCAAAACTCACGTGCTTTGGGGTTGGAGAAGCTGCTCTTGCCCTCTTCAGGTAGAAAAAGAAATGACTTTTTCCGTCTAAACTTCCCATGGACAATGAAGAAGAAAGATTTTTCCAAAACCACAAAACAATGTCTTCTATTTCACTGGCACATAATTTATCTGTGTCTAACTTAACCCCGTTAAATTGAGGCTGAATTTTAAAATTGTAATCTCAATTTCTACCGTTTGTGATGAATCTCAATCTCGCGTTGCCCCTTCTTATTTTATTTATAAATAGAAACTGTGGCTCTGTATTTCTATTTCTAGAAAATATGTGTCCCTGTGTTTTCTTTTTTTTTCTTTTTTTTTTTTTTTTTTTTTTTTTTTTTGAGGTGGTGTCTCGCTCTGCCGCCCAGGCTGGAGTGCAATGGTGCGACCTCAGCTCACTGCAAGCTCCGCCTCCCGGGTTCACGCCATTCTCCTGCCTCAGCCTCCCGAGTAGCTGGGACCACAGGCGCCTGCCACCACACCTGGATAATTTTTTATATTTTTAGTAGAGACGGGTTTTGACTGTGTTAGCCTGGATGGTCTCGATCTCCTGACCTTGTGATCTGCCCGCCTCAGCCTCCCAAAGTGCTGGGATTACAGGCGTGAGCCACTGCACCTGGCCTGTCCCTGTGTTTTCTACTCAGTCCTCCCTGTATTTGTTTTCCACTTCAGTTATTCCCTCGCACACCAGACACACACACTCTCCCCATAGCAGTGGAAGAGTTCGAGGTACTTAGACGTATGTTTGCTCTCTGTAAAATGCAGTGCAATTCTATACTGGCTTCATCCTCACCATTCGCTCATTCCAAGGGCCCAGATTGAAGCTCAGGAGAGTGGAGACTTCGTTTTGCTCCGTTGGTGGAGAACTCGGACCCCAGTACACAGAACAGTGCCTGACACAAGGGGCTCAAAGGGTTTTTTGGAATGAATGGCCCCTTAGGATTGGGATAGACGAGTAAACAATATTGAGGTAAATATTACTAAAATTGGGTGGAAATCAACTGAAATTGGTTTCAAAGAGTGGGAGGTGAAAAGATTGTTTTTCACTGTCAATCCCTTGCAGCCTATCTCATGTCAATTATACCCATACTTAGTCCATAGAAGTTTGCTAGTGGGTCATCTAAGGAGACATAGATAGAAAAGGCAAACATGAGCGAATGTTGAGAAAAAGTGAATTTGAGGGCCAAGTGACCTCAAGTTGAATGTGAATCTGAGAATACAATTTTGTTTCTTGGATCTCATGCATAACATTTAGATGAAATTTATCCAAAATGATTCATCCTATTCCTTGTACTCTTTAATTTACATGAGAAATAGAAGGAAATGAGAAAGATAAGTTTCATGTGGGTAATTCTGGTCCTGGAGAAGTGGGAGCCCCGCTCTAGATTCTCAGGACCAGAATCTACGACGAGCAGCACCCAGACCAAGGGTTCTGTCCCTGAGCCTTGATGACGTGTCCTGTGCGTTTTGCCCCGACACGCAGCGTCGCCACACCTCAGCGTCTCTCTTTACACTGGAGGTAATAGTTCCGACTTCGTGGGATCTTCTGTGACACTGGCCATGTCCCCATCTGCACACCCATCCCCTCCCTGGGATCCTGTGGCCCCCGCTGCTCCGGGACTCAACCTCGTTCACTTCCTTTGGGATTAGGTTGAAAACACACAGGATGGAAAGAGAGGTGCTCTGCAGGCAACCTCTGCTCTCAGCCTCACTGCAGGGCTTTCTCCTTGAGCAAAAGCCACAGCACCTGCTCTCTCCTTAGGGGCCGGGGAGAAAAGACAAAGGGAAAACACAGCAAGAAAGAAAGAAATGTGTGACCTCAAAGGCAATCCAGCCAGACATATGTGTGTATGGTATCTACACATTACATCAGTGAAAAATGATGACGCCATCTGGGCTGTGACACAGGTACTGTCAGATCTCTCACAAATATTACGGTAACTAAAGGTTCTCCAGCCCTGCGCAGACTTCCCGCGTCTCAGTCTTTACAGCCACAGCTCTAACTGTCCTGTTGCCAACATGGCCCCCAAGTCCCCTGTACCCCACAGAGCATCCCAGGGTGGCTGAGTCGTCCCTGAGCTCTGGGTCTCTGAGGCTGCAGTGACGGCAGCTGGCATGAGGTGGCCTCTGAGGCCTCCCTTCTGAATTCTCCATTTCTCCCTGACACACGGTTCAGTCGGCTTCCTACTGGGGTATAAATTGCCAGCTAGTTAAGTGTTGAGCAAGGTACCTGGCCCAAAAGGTAAATAAATAAATGTTTATTTACTTCTCAATAAATCTTAGCTTCCTTCGGTCCTTTTCACTGCCTTGCAAGCAAGGACGAGCTCTGGGGACTTTACACTGTGTCCGCTGAGCCCTGCAGGTCCCATGCTTCCCAGAATTCCTTCCCTGCAAGGTTCCAGGTCCAGTTGGCTGCAGAGAAAGTTGTGTGAGATTTGGAAGGAGGAAGGCAAGTCACCCTCTGCAGCGTCTCGTGGGGTTCCAGGTGCTGTGAAGCCCTCAGCCCTCCTTTACCTGAGGTCCCCTTGTCCCCACTGGGCCTCCCCCCGAAGCATCCCCAGTCCCGGGTGAGGAATGTGAGAAGGGCACCTGTGGAGAAGGACACCCTCCTTGTCCTCAGGTCACCGGCATCCCTGAGGTTGACGAAGCATGAGACGTCCCGGGCTGCCCTGTCCTCGTGGGCTCCAGGTGTCCCCGTGAGTGCAGTTTGTCCTTACTCTGCCTGTGGGCCTGCCAGTCCCAGGGCCACGGCCTCCCACGGCTTCTCACCAGCCGCAGCGACCCATCATAAATCCCTGGTCCCAGGCTGCTTTCAGAGGCTCCGCTCTTTCATCAAACACTGACAGAGGCAGGATCGTGTGCCTCTGCATCTCCCTGTCCCTCCGGAGAGGGGTCATTTGTAGAGAGCATAGCAATGTGGCTTTCCTTACCGGAACGCACTCCATAAGAAAAGGGCGAATTCCTTGAAAAGTTCCCTTACAGAAGAAGATACTTAAGTAGCCAACAAACATGGGAAGAGGCGCTCAGTTTGCACTGAACTCACGAAATAGCACACCCACTAGAACGGCTGAGGTTGAAAACACATTCACCAGGGCAAGGAGTCAGTAGGACCTGCATCCCAGCGATTCTCCTCCTACAAGGGCACAAGAGGACTGAGGGCCGACGTCCTACAAACGGCACCCACAAGGAACTTCATGCTGACTTGCTCAAACGCAAGAGAAAAAAACTGGAAATAACCCAAATGTCCATTAGGGGATAAAAAATAAATAAATTTTGGTACTCCCGTATAATGGAAGATTACAGAGTAGTTTAAAAACCATGAAACTAATGAGCAGTGATGTTGAACTTTTTAAAATATGCTTGTTGGCCACACGCGTCTTCTTTTGAGAAGTGTCTGTTCCTGTCCTTTGCCCAGTTTTTAATTGGGTTACTTATTTTTTTCTTGTCAATTTGCCATTATCCTCAGCAAACTAATGTGGGAACAGAAGACCGAACACCTCATGTTCTCACTTATACGTGGGAGCTGAACAATGAGAACACATAGACCCAGGGAGGGGAACAACGTATATACTGGGGTCTGTCAGGGGAGGGCGGGGGTGGTGGGAACAGCCTTGGGTTAAATAGCTAAAGCATGCCGGGATTAATACCTAGGTGATGGGTTGATGGGTGCAGCAAACCACCATGGCACACGTTTACCTATGTAACAAACATGCATGTCCTACACACGGACCCCGGAACTTAAAATAAAATAAATTTTTTTAAACCTGTGAAACTGCTGGTATACACAACATGGATAAATGTCACAAAAACTTATTTGAGTGACAGAATTCAGGTGCAAAAGAATAGTAACATATGGTTGTATTTGTGTGATGTTCCAAAACAGGAGAAGCTAACTGACGATGACGGAAGTTAAATCTGTGGTCACTCGGGATGGTAGTGGGTGGGAAGGGGCAAGAGAGCCTTTGGGGGAGAGGGAAATGATCTGTCTTCATCTAGTGTGGTTGCAGGGGTATATGCAGATGTAAAAACTCACTAACTGTATATGAACTTCATATACATTTATATTACACACCACGTTTTTAAGGTTTTGCAAAAAGGGAACTCTTGGATGTGGGAGGACTTTGTAAGGTGGGGTCACTCGGCAGCAGAGTCAGCTCTCTCAGGCGGGGAAAAGCAGAGAGGCAGTCTGCCCACTGGAGGAGACTCCCCAGACACCTCGCAGGCCTCCCTCCCTCCACAGGGAAGGGCTCAGCTCACTGCCCTGGGCTGAACGAAGTGCCGCGGAGGAGGGCCTGAAGCTCATTGTCCGCAGACACTCACACTGCACTGAGGCTTTAAACCGCATGTTTCCAGGCCGGGCGCGGTGGCTCAAGCCTGTAATCCCAGCACTTTGGGAGGCCGAGACGGGCGGATCACAAGGTCAGGAGATCGAGACCATCCTGGCTAACATGGTGAAACCCCGTCTCTACTAAAAATACAAAAAAAAACTAGCCGGGCGAGGTGGCGGGCGCCTGTAGTCCCAGCTACTCGGGAGGCTGAGGCAGGAGAATGGCGGGAACCCGGGAGGCGGAGCTTGCAGTGAGCTGAGATCCGGCCACTGCACTCCAGCCTGGGCAACAGAGCCAGACTCCGTCTCAAAAAAAAAAAAAAAAAAAACCCGCATGTTTCCACTCCATTCCTTGACACACCTTTGGAAGCTGCCTGCGGCGTTCTTTAACCTCGTTCCACCTGGAAAGGTGGGGACACATAGTGAGACTTTAGGCCTGAGTCACAGATTCTGCCTCAGGAATTTCTCTGCTCTGTCCAGTTCAGCCTGCAAGACTTAAGAACCTCATGTTCCGTTTAAAGTGTGAACTATTTGTTGGGCAGTCCATTAGATGGCAATGATTAAATTAAATGCTTGAAGTAAAAAGGGTAAAGTGCTGTTGGTGGGAGTGTACATTAGTTCAGCCATCGTGGAAGACAGTGTGGTGATTCCTCAAAGACCTAAAGACAGAAATACCTTTCAACCCAGCAATCCCATTACTGGGCATGTACACAAGGGACTATAAATCATTCTATTATAAAGACACATACATATGTATGTTCATTGCAGCACCATTCATAATAGCAAAGACATGGAGTCAACCTAAATACCCATCAATGGTAGACTGGACGAAGAAAATGTGGTACATATACACCACGGAATACTGTGCAGCCGTAAAAAAGAAAGAGATCATGTCCTTTGCAGGATGTGGATGGAGCTGGAGGCCATCATCCTTAGAAAACTAACACAGAAACAGA